TAAATCTTAAGTATAATGAAAGGATTTATACAAAAATTTGCCTTTTGTATTTGGGGCGATGGGTCAATTGAGAATCATTAAATGTATTGGGTTGGAATAAAAATTTGTAGCATTTGAACGTCTGATTCCTCATTGATGTTTAACATAATGCATATTTTAAAAGATGATATTTCAATGTTTTTCTGATTCCATTTGTATATGGATTGTGAATGATTTTTTTTTTTTTTTTCTTTTTGCTTACATTGAAAATGAAAAAAGTGAGATGCCTTTTCGTCATTTGATGCCTTTTTATTTCCAAAAAAGGAAAAAATAATTGTACAAACAGCAGAGAAAGTGTTGTTTATAGAGATTACCTTTTTGTAAGTGGTTTGCTAGGTTCAGGAGTAGAAATATTGATCTGGATGATTGAGAACATTCTCGCAGGTCTGCAGTTGTTGATGACCAAATTGAAATATTGAATAAATGCAAGTCATAACACTTGACATGAGATACTCTACTGATTCCATTTGGTCATCAGAAGGCATTTGAAAATACTTGGCTATAGGAATTGCAATGTTTGGGTGCCTCATGATCTAACAGAAAATTTAATGGACTGCATTTTCACCTGCGATTCTCTACTCAAATACAATGAAACAAGTGATGAAAAATGATTTGCAACATTATGGAATGAAATAGATCATGAGGAAATGAAATGACCTACCATTGACCACTGGTATGCATCCAAAGAAAGTAATGCTCTGTATCTGGTGGGATTTGGAGAAGTAAAATCAGATGTTGATTTCAGACAAGTACTTTTTTCCCAATTAAAGGTAGCAATTGATGAAAAGCATCTGGAATTGACCAATTGGAAGAGTGTCATCTTTCATTAGGTCAATATCAAACCTCGCTGGCAGAAATTGATACAGCTTTGCTAGGATGTCCTAGTGCATTTGCTGCACTCACATGACCTTGTACCTTCAGGTTACCATTTATTTTAATCGCTACAAAATTATTTTAATTTAAAAAAAGTTCAATTCTCTGGAAGCCTGCAAAAACCACTTAGACCAGTTAACCACCCAGAAAGATGCCAAGTTGTGGGAGGGTAGAATCATGAGGCTACCTCAAAGATGGTAAAAAGTTCAAAAATAAAATAGCACATGTGGTTGAATAAATCTGTATAAATATGTAAATATTGTCTTTGAAACTCACTCTAAAAATACTTAATCCAACCCAATGAAACTGGAAGTCTGTTAGCAAAGATGAACAGCTTAAAATAGAGATCATATTTTTTTTTCTCCCTAAGCTATTTGAAGAATACTCTAAATGATTTTGATAAGTACTATCAAGGACATGCCTTGTTTATTTCTATAAGATATCCCAAAATGAAATTTTATTTTTAATATATTTGAAAACCTTTTAATACGGACATAGAGAGCTTGACAAAACATAAGTAATGGTACCAAATTTATCAATTAGCAATAAAGTTATGACCATTGAAAGTTCTGATGACCTTTTTGAATTTTTTTTTTTTTTTTTTTTTTTTTTTTTTTTTTGTGTGGTATTGAGCCAAAAGAAAATTTCACCAATATATAACTGAAGATGTTTCAGAATACTTGAAAATCATAAATTCTAATGTCTTGAAGTAAAAGAAATATAATAATTATTAGATTGGACCAGCTTAAGCATTGGGGAAAAAAATTGCATTCTCAAAACTGAAATAGTTAAAAAAATGACACAGAATCACAGTTTTGACTGATCATGTTTCATTTCAATAGTAATGACTTAACTTCTATGATTTGTATCTCAACAGATGAAGCTCAGTTGTTGACTCAGTAGTACATCAATAGAAAACCTGTATTTACATGTAAAAACAGTAATAAGCATAATTTGGCAGTGGGGCAAAAATGGGTCAAACATTCTGAACTTGCCATAAAAATGTATCTATTGGAGGTACATGCTAAAAACTTTACTAACTTGGGGATGTGGAATTCAACAAACCCACTCTCTTTGTAATATACCTTCTGTCATAGATGTACTTAATTTGGGAAAATTTTAATTTTTAACTTAAAAAAAAAAAGACTGTAATGGCAAGACTTAGAAATTTGTTTCATGAAATAAGTCATTGGTCAATCCTTGAAAGAAATGTCTATTGTGAAGCTTTAAACTTGTTTATTTTCAAACTAAAAGAAACTGAAATGAATAAAAATACATTTATTGGAACTGATGAAGTTGGAATGGTCCTCCTGCATTTTCTTTCTTAATGGTGATTTGCAGTCTGAATTTGTTTGTCTCTGCTACAGGCAATATTCTTGGGACACTATATCCTAGACAAATATTGATGTCACTTGTGCAATATCCAACAAAAATAATTATTTATGCTTTTAGTTGGAACTAAAATTTTGATTCCAGCACTGGAAGCATTAAAAGTAGGAATCCCAAATTGTCCTATTTTACAGTGTAGGCATATGTCAAAATAGTGAAATTTCCTTCCATTTCAATTGTTGATGTATTTCGTAGGCTTATTTTGATAAAATTAGCATGTATACAGTTTAATCTTTGCTCTTTCTAAAGATATACTTCTTTTTCATGTGTGATGATTAGTTTTTATTTCATGTCTCTTGAAATTGTCGCTATTTCAATGACAAACAGCGTTTTTCCAAAGTTGATAATTTCATAGTGCTGTTTCTCAAATTAGTTGCACTATTTACACAGACCAAAATTGTCCTATATTAAAGAAAAAAAAGGATGCTCATAAATTTGATGTGAGAACTGTAAGATTTGAAGTCTTTCACAAAAGATTTCTAAGATGAAAACTTTAGTGGATGAAATACCAGAGAAATTCAACATTTTTTTTTAAATTCCTACTTCCTTGTAGAGCAATGTCTTGTCTTTAATAATCAGTTGGTTTCATATGCCTGCCTCCATACAACTTGATGTAAGGCTGGTTTCAAGTAATGGCTGGATATGATTCCAGAAATATTAGCCATATCAAAGGCTTATAAGGAAATTCATTGAGCAAATCAAATTAGGAAAGGATGTTCAGGAGAACCATTTACAGAAAGGCTTTTCCATCAGTTTAAAACTGAAGATGTTTAAAGTCCTATTTTAAAGTAGGTCTTCCTTTTGTAAAACAGATTTCCAAGTTTGTAGTCATTACTATTTTGTTTTTGACCTTGAATTTCATAATTTTCCAAAATTAGGTACGTATTTAACAAGGTATTCATATTACAAGCGTTTTGTTAAAGTCTTCATCACAAAATTAGTAAGTTTCAGGTATGTAACTTCAATGGATAATTCCCCCCCCCCTTCTTGTTCTGTTCAGTATGGTGCACTTTTAATCTCTTTTTGCCCTCAATTGCACTTCTGGCTGTTTTTATGTGGTGTATGCTTTTTTTTTCTTTTTTTTTAAATCCCATCTTTATCTCTGTTGTGCTATGAAGAAGTAGCAAGATATTAAATGTTGAAATGAAACTTACATAATCAGTCAAATTTACTCTTCTGTATCATTTTTATGATTTTGTTTTTTGAGGATTAAATTTTCCCAGTGTTTTAGGTTTTTGCCTGATTTAAGAATTATTGATTCCATTAGCATTTATCTTTCACTTCAACATTTCCGATCTGGCATTAAATTTATAATGATTTTTAACTTGTTTGATGCCTGCATCTTCAATTATACACTGTTAAAATTAGCTTTTTTGTCCAAAAGCATGAGTTGAAAATTTTCATGAACTTTGAATGGATATAACTTCGACTAATTGAGCTACCGAGAATTTTTTTTTTTTAATGGTTTGTAAAGATCTGTCTATATTTAAAGGTTTTAGATATATTCAAAATAAAATTTCAGTTTAGGATACCTATTAAAACTTACATCACTGTAATGCATATTTCCTTCATTAGTTTTTAACTTTGTCACTATATATTGCAAAGGATTTGGTCTTTTTTGTCCTGTTTCTCCTGATTAAATGAAAATTACTTCATTCACTGAACAGAATTTTTTTTTTTTTTTTTTTTTTTTTTTGTTAATTATGCTTATCTAATAATGGCTTAAGGAAAAAGTTGAACTATAAAATGTATCTTTTTATTTACTTATTTTAAAAAATTTTTTTTTTTTTTTTTTTTTAAGAACATGTAACTATTTCATTTTCACATCTGAAATAGGACCTAATCCCTAGAATTAGTGAATAAGCATTTTTTTTTTTTTTTTTTTTTTTTTTAAAGTGATAAAATGAACTGACTACATTATGAAAATTACTTAATTACATTTCAATTTTTGATATTCATGCATGTGCCAGTTCATTTTTTTTTTTTTTTTTTTTTTTTAAATGTATCTAGTTACATTTTTGAAAAGAAAATGTAAATAAATTTTCAATTTAATCCTTGCATGTGTCTCAAGTTGTGTGGGTGCAGCGATATTAAACTGTTTATGAGAGACAAACCTTGCTTTACAAGAGGTGCAATTTTCATTTTTTTTTTTTTTTTTTTTATTAAGTGTTGACTTTTTCAACTTTGGAATCTATTCTGAAACTCTACTTCAAACCTTATCTTGAGCCCACCAAATTGACAAGCATCTTTTTTTTCTTCTTTAAGGTGAGACAATTTTGATGTGTAGGGAGCTGTAACTCAAAATGCAACAAGCCTGTCAAACATCACTATGAAATAGTGACATAATTTAGAGACATGAAATAAAAACTAATCATCACAAAGTGTGTGTGTGTGTGGGGGGGTAATGTATTTTTTAGAAACAGAAAAGATTAACTTTTGTTTTATATAGTAAAATAGTCTTGACAATGATATCAGCAACTGAAATTGAAGGAAATTTCACTATTTTGACACTTTGCTGTGAAAACTAAAGAGATTTGGGATAACTATTTCTGTATTCCTTTGAGTTAAATTTATAACCTAAAACTGTTTTCAATTCCAACAGACCTGAAGTTTATATTTTTTGGTTTTATACCCACCTTACTTCCACAAAAAACAAATTATTGGCAAATTTTAATTTAGCAAAATATTTCTTCTTTCAGGGGATATTGGCAATTACTATTATGGTCAGGGACATCCAATGAAACCCCACCGTATTCGAATGACCCATAATCTCATCCTGAATTATGGCCTCTATAGAAAAATGGAAATATATGTAAGTTTATTTTTTTCCAAATTTCATTTTCTTTTGTTTTACTCCTTTGCTAATTGTGTGTGTGTGTGTGTTTTTTTTTTTTGTTTTTTTGTTTTTTTGTTATATGGAATCATTTCATGTAGCTTTATAAATATTTTTTGTCTGAATATGACATCCACCCAAAATTGAATTGTCAAAAGCAACATGCAAAGAAATTTGGGTTATAATTTTACAAACTGTTGAATAAGTATTAAAAAAGAAAAAAAGGTACTGTGATTTCATCTTCATTTGGTGATCTAAATTTAATCAGTTATATAAATTGATTGAAACTCCTAATGAAGTGGTATCAGGATGAAGACTTTTCAGAGTTTATTTGACAAATAATGATCTATCTATTCAGTTCATTTTCTATTGATATAAATAATTTATCCATAGTAAAGTATCTGTTCTTTAAAATCTCTTGAGCAATTCTTTGCATTCTGCCTACCTGAAAGGTACACTTCTCTTTTAATGTATATCTGTAAATATATTGTTGGATAATAAATAATCAATTTTTGATTCATTTTGCATTTTTCCAGACAAAAAAAAAACAAAGCATTTTAATAATTAGTTCTGTTACTATTACAAAACGTTTATAATTTTTGATCTGTTTGTTATAACATTTAAAATATTGACGATTATGTATAATCCATACAGAAAGAAACTTTTTTTTTATGCCTCTACTAAAGAATAGTGTCAGTATCACACATTTCTGTTATCAGAACTGACATTGGAATGTTTAACTGTCGTTGCAAAATTAGTGTCTTTGATTTGGAAATTACACTTCAAATGAAAAGTGCTAAAAGCTATATAAATTGAATCATGAGAGCAAAAGTGAAAAGTTCCTCACAGCTCTATGTATGTTAGTATTATAAATAAAATGAAAATAATGTGATTTAATTTTCATTGATTTATCAAACTTTATGCTAGCTAAATTGTTTCCTTTTCTTAAATTAATCAGTTTTGCAAGTTTACCATCTCTCTTGCTCTTAATCTGTTTAACTCATTGACAATACATTTCTCTAACCCTTTAAGTTCTGCACAAACATGCTCATGAAAAAGCAAGATTTTTTTTTTTTTTTTTTTTTTTTTTTAATTTCTGAAATTGTTTTCATATTACTCTTTGCCTCCAATGAGAGCCAGAGATAAAAAAAAAAAAATTTTGGAAATTCTGCCAAAAAGATTTTAAAGAAGTTATTTTATTTTTCTTTTCTTTTTAAATGAATAACTGCAAATTAATTTTAATATCATTTTTCTGAAGTTTCTTCCTCCCCAGAGTAAGAATTAAAAATGTTCCTATTAAATATAATGATTGTAATATAAAACATAACCTAAACAAAACAAAAAAAATGTGTTACTTTGGACACCCATGTAGAAAGGGAAGAGGTGGTTTTATCTAAAGTCTTTTTCCATTTGATAGACCACCAGATGATTTATTTCAAAGTTCTGTCTTCTAAGCAGCATCCATTCTGCCCAAAGAGAAATGGGAAGTAAAAGCATGATTAGGAGTTTGGGGGATAAGTACCAACAAAACCGGAAATAGGTCATATCCGGGTGCTGGTCTATATTAAGTTATCCTTGGGACTGGGGAGAATTCTCTTTCAGCCCTGGTGAGAGATAGATGTAATCATTGTTCTGTTCTGAAGCCTCTCTTCATATTTCCAACAATCAATGTGGGCAAGGAGTTACTAGAGGGAGAAGCTGACATAACAGAGGTAGTCATAATTATCACCTTACCTACTCATCAGTATGAGTAGGTGAAATCCTGAATAAAATATTTACATGTATAGGAAACTGGGTGTGTGTTCTTATTTCTCAACATGATCTTTTGTCTTTCATGGTGTTAACTTGTGAGCATTGCAATGTGCCCTTCCCCAACCTTCGGTGTGCACTGAGGAGATCAAGAATCTGAATACAATGTGAGGTAATCACTACTCGGTTGGTGGAAAGGTTGGGAGAGGGTTGTGTTATATGTTTACAAAATTATTAAGTCATAAGAGTGCAGCATTGTCCCCCCCAAAAAAAAATTTTGATCACAGAACAATCAAGATAGAAAATGAAGACCATGTCAATGAAATAACTGGTTTTAATAATGTGCCAAAAAGAGATCTGAAAAAAAAAAATGAAAGTTATAAACAAAAGTAGATTGACTAGTAAAGAAATAGTTGAAACTGTTGATATAGATCTAAACAGGTATATTAAGAAAAAAAAAATAGGAAAGTAGCCAAACTACAGCAGTTTTAAATAAACATCATGGAGAGGAAAGTATGAATTTGGTTAGATGAAGTGCATGAAAACTGATTTCTCAAATTGTAACCAAATTGTGAAGTAGTGGCTGCAAGACATGGAGGCATTTAAAGTTTGAATGGGTCAAAATAAATATTTATTATGCTACTAACGACAGATGATAACTTTTTTTGGTAAGAGTTTAATGTGATTGTTAGAGTTGTATAAAAAAAAAAAAAATTAAGCTGGCTGTCTGTAGCTAAATCTGTTTAAATCTGACATATTTGTAGAATGGCATATGTGGAAGCCACCAGTTGTTCCTGGAACAAACTTGGTGTCATCTGCTCATGTAGCAAGTTATCTTGCTGTGACCCATCACCACCAACAGGAAACATAGTGAGCATAAGTGGTGCTAGTAGTCTGCAACAATTTTGTGCATGTCAAATCTTTTAAGGCCGAATTCATTTTCACTAATGATCCTTACAAAGTTGAACAACCCACCTCGTACATTTACAGAAATTCCAGCTTTATACAATCTTGGCATTCTTTTCTCATAAACTAGATCAGCCTATAAAAGGGCTGGAAACCTGCTTCAGCTGACACCATGTCGGTCTTTTATGGTTCTACCATAGTTCAGGACTCTGCGTTGGACATTGGGGATAACAATGCAGGACCAAACAGTGTGATAGGGATTGTCAATAGCGTTCCAACCAACCATAGGAAGGGTTGAAAGATGATGGTTCTTCATTGAGCCAGTTGTCATGCAATAACTGATGTTTTGGTGGCAATAATGTTACCCTTTTTTTTTTTTTTTTTTTTTTGTTGATATCCGAGACCTTATAGAATGTTGTTTATGCTGTAAAAATGTTGAATGTTATTAATGTTGTCCATCAATTGTTGGTTATCATCTTTATCAGTCGCTGGTGGTCTTACTTGTTACACCACCTGTAAGAACTTGCAATTTTCATGTACTACTCTTATCTGCCTTGAATTTATGTATTCCTGGTATAACCTTGCTACTGTTGCTCAAGGAATACTTAGAACAGTTTCCACCTCCAGAGAAAATGTTCTGTCTGACCCAACAATCCTTCCACCATTAAATGTTTTTAAATCTTATCCATGTTCTATGGTTACCACAGCTGCACTACCTTTTTTTTTTTTTTTTTTTTACATCAGATACATGCCATCTGGTAGACCTACTCCATGTTAGAATGGTCCATCCAATATATTGCTGTCTTAAATTTAGTTTTTTTTTTTTTTTTTTTTTTTTTTTTTTTTTCAATTCAATTTAGATGGAGATGGTGTCTGAAATCTTGTTGGTCCCTCCCCTACCAAGGGTGGATACCCCCCCCCCTCTCCTAATATTTGTTCAGATTTGAGGGAAGAGGCTTAGGCTGAGAACTTTTTAGCATCCCCTCATGTTATATAATATTGAGTTGGAACAAAAGTTTGTATCATTGCTACTTTTTGATATGTTTGAAGCAGCTTCATGATTCCATCTTTGTGAGTGATAAACTGGTTGAAGTGTATGTTTGGTGTTTTTTTTATATATATATATATATACACTATTTTATTAGCCACATGTTTCATTTAATGTGGACTTTTCCAAGGTCAAAAACGAAAAAAGCTTTTTTGCTTTGAAAAAGTCCACATTTGACAATGTGTGGCTAATAATAGTTTTCCTATTGTCTTTTACCTTTATACAGTCTTTTTCTACAGGTTAACTGGGAAATATTTTTTTTTTTTTTGTGTGTGTGTGTAAAATATATATATTTCTCAGTTAACCTATAGAAAAGATCATTTATAAATATAAATGATAATAGGAAAACTAATAGTTGCCGACACGTTTTGTCCAATGTGGACTTTCTCAAGGCAAAAAACAAAATGAATTTATTTAAACAAAGTAACTAATAACAAAAACAAAATGTCCTTAGCAACTGGAAGAATTTAGAGAACACTATTTTCATACTGTTAACTGAAAATTGTCAATTACTGTCACGTGTGGAGATATTGTTATTATTTCTGTGTTGACAGATTCAACCATTTTCTTTTGATTTCACGATATTGTTGTGTATGCATGTTTGAGAGAGTAGTAATTCTGTTAAGAAAGGTGAAATAGGGAAAAAGCCTGGGCGTAGATTAATATTTGGGTAATATTCAATGGCAGCACTCTCTAGGATTTTTCTTCTGAGTGAGGGTTTTTTTTTTTTTTTTTTTTTTTTTTTTTGTGTAGCATTTTTAAAATCAAAATTGTGATTGAATTAATTTCTATGTATGAGACTAGTGCATTAGCTAAGTTGTTTTTTGTGAGGTCTCTTGTGCTCATAAATGTTTTTTTTTTCTCCCCCACTTGTTTCTCCAATAATACACTAGTCATCCAGTACATCAGTTAAGCTCCCTCCCCTCGAAACACAACACTGTATTCATTTATTGTGTGAACAACAGTGGCTCATAAAGCCAGCTATCAATCTGCATTTCTTGTTACATATATGGCATGTCAAGCCAGCATGCATGCTTCTGGAAAATAGAAGTTTTTATCAAGATCATTTTGTAGGGATTGAAATATGTCTTAATCTGAAGGTGCAAGTTTGGGGCATTTTATTGCATTTGAGTAGAGAATCAAATAGAAATGTTTCATTTTAAAAAACAAAAAAACTTATTTTTATTTATTTATTTTTTTTTTTTTATGAGGCACCCAAACATCAGTGATTCATGTATTCAAGTGTTTTCAAATGCCTTACCATTCGTGATATATAGAGTATCTCTGTAATGTCCCCATGTTGTGTAACCTGAATTGTTTTTAATCGGTATTTCAACTTGGCCACCCATAATGGCTGTAGGCCTGCCAGAAGATTTTTGGTCTTCCAGATTAAAATTTATGCTTTTGAACCTAGGGACAGTACTCTCAGCTATGGCATAACTTTTTGGCTGTTTGTACAACTTTTATTTTTCTTTATTGGGATGGAAAAATAATGGAAATGCATTTCTTTTTCTTCCTTTCCACTTCGAATGTAAAAACATTTAAAATTCACAATTGTACATGAATCAGAAAGTCACATTGAAATGTCATCTTTCAGAATGTCTGTCATAAATTTCTGTCAAATATGAAAGTGTTTAAATGCCACCTATTGAAAAATGTTACAGACTTTTGTTTCAATTCAACATATTTATTTCAAATTTGTTACATCTTGTTTTGTCTTGCTGCTGATATAATCAGTATTTGGGCAAGATAACTTGAAGTCCATCCTTTTTTCAGGTTTTGAATTTAGGCTGGTTGTTGCCCTCTAAAGGTTAGTTTGCTCTATCATTTATCCATAGCTGGTAAGAAATGGATTCATGCCTTTCCCAAGTTTACTGATGTGGTCACAACCTTAGCAGCTCTGTCTGTGGGGGGGGGGGAGATAACCAGGGTTCATGTTGGGATGCCATCTCCTGTAACACTATTGAAACTCTTTTAGTTCAGATTTTACCAATTACTGTGCTTGTATGAAAATCTTACTTTTGGCAAGTGATTTGGACTAAGATTATCTTTTGTAATAAAGATAGAATTGATTTTACTACAATTATTTCATTTGATTGCAGGAGTTTTTAATTGGACTTTTCTTCCTGCTTTCAAACCTTTTTCACACAAAAAAAATTCCGTTTTCTTTCTTCATATGCAAAGTCTTCTTATTAAAGAAGAAAGTGAGGTGGGTGGGAAAGCTCTTATGTTTTAACTTGTTTTTCCCCTCCTTTGCAGCGGCCACACAAGGCAATCCAGGATGAAATGACCAAATTTCACAGTGATGACTATATCAAATTTTTACGAAGCATTCGACCTGACAACATGTCTGAATACAATAAACAGATGCAGCGATGTGAGCCTTTTTTTTTTTTTTTTTTTTTTTTTTTTCTTTCTCTCTCAAATATAATTTATATGCAGCCTCAGGTTATTCAACACAATTTTGAAAAATAAAATATGTGAACATTTTTGTGATATTATTGCTTTATTAGATGTGCTTTTTAGGGTTAAATCTCTAAAGTTTATTCTTTATTTCTGATCCTTGCTGTTTAAAACTTGTAGAATGTTTACTACCATGGAAACAAAACAAAAATAATCTTTGACATAATCTTATTTGGTCTCATTTTTAATTTGATATTTCAATTAACTCTGTAAATGTAATCACTTTAAGATGCTCCAGTCCCAGTAATTTCGAATCTACTTCAATAAATGTCTAATTTTCTTTTATTGTTGCTCTACATTAGTCATATTTGCTTGGAGATCATGTTAGATAAATTCTCATGAAGCTTATATCAATTTTATCTTTAAAAAAAAAAAAAAAAAAAAAAAAAATGTTCAACCTCAAACTTCAACTTTTAATATTTAATCTTCTTTGAAGAATGGTAGACATTAGTGATGGAAATAATTGAGTTGCTACTAACATTGAATTGGGCATATGACATCCCCCCCCCGAGTCATAATCCCCATTGGCAAAATTGAGAATTAAATCAACAAACTCAAAAGGAGGAAGAACAACATTAAATAGGAAATGGCTAAGGAATTATGGTGTAAATTAAATAAAGTCAAACCAGTGTCTGTCTTGTGAACAGGTTTTATTTTATTTGTTTATTTAATATTAGCATATGTATTTGCTTTTGAAAATAAGCAATCATTAAGGACATGGTGATTGTGAGGTAGTTTTTAGAATTCTCTTCATTTTCTTTAAAAAATGATGGTCATAACTCAAAGAATAGAATGTATCAGATTATACAATTCCTTGATTTCTTTAATCTTAAAAATTATCAAAATGTGACTTTTTTTTTTTTTTTTTTTTTTAAATCTAAAGAATTAATGGATTTTATTTTTAATCCAATATTTTTATTACTTTAAATATTATTTTTAGTGGTTACCCATATTTAAGCAGATACTCTAAATGGTAGAAGAAATAAAATGCTGTTTAAAATGAGCAAAGCATCTATTCAAATAGAAATATTTTATGTAAGAATTTTAAATATTAAAGCTTTCTTTTTGAAAGTGTACATTTTTTTTTTTTTTTTTTTCCCCCCAGTCAATGTTGGAGAAGATTGTCCTGTCTTTGATGGAATGTATGAATTTTGCCAACTTTCAACTGGTGGTTCAGTTGGTAAGTACAATTTATTTATTTTATTTTATTTATTTATTTAAAGAAAAAAAAATCGTTTATTAATTATTTAATGACTTAAATTTATTCATTATTTCTTAATTTCTATGGCATCAAAAAGAAATTTTTTCTTTTTAGTGTTTAAGGTATGTTTAACAAAACCTTAATTTTGATCAAATTTACACTTTTTATAAGAATATAGTTAAGATCCTGTAGTGAGATTATTGATTTTTTTCTTCTTTTTTCTTCTTTTTTTCTTCTTTTTTCTTCTTTTTTTCTTCTTTTTTCTTCTTTTTTTCTTCTTCTTCTTTTCTTCTTCTTCTTTTTTTCTTCTTCTTCTTTTTTTCTTCTTCTTTTTTTCTTCTTCTTTTTTTCTTCTTCTTCTTTTTTCTTCTTCTTCTTCTTTTTTCTTCTTCTTCTTCTTTTTCTTCTTCTTCTTCTTTTTTTTCTTCTTCTTCTTTTTTCTTCTTCTTCTTTTTTCTTCTTCTTCTTCTTTTTTCTTCTTTTTTCTTCTTTTTTCTTCTTTTTTCTTCTTTTTTTCTTCTTTTTTTCTTTTTTTCTTTTTTTCTTCTTTTTTTCTTCTTCTTTTTTTTTTTTTTTCTTCTTTTTTCTTCTTCTGCCTTTTACATGGAGAAAATCTATTCAATTACTTTAATGATTGGTTAGTTAAATATTTGTATTAAGATTGTCATTCTTTTGAAATATTGTTAGAAACAACCTACCACCATAGACAAAGGCAATACTGATTTTTTTTTTTTTTTTTTTTCCTCTTTCTCTTTTCTCTATTATAGCTGGGGCTGTAAAATTAAACAAACAAGCTGCCGATATTGCTATTAATTGGGCAGGAGGATTACATCATGCGAAAAAGTCTGAAGCTTCTGGTTTCTGTTACGTCAATGACATTGTTTTGGCCATTTTGGAATTGCTGAAGTGAGTCTCTTTGCTTGCTCAATTAAAGATTGCTTTTTTTTTTTCTTCTTCTTAATCTCCATCAATTTGATTTATCCGAAATGATTTTGCAGTTTCTGCTAGAAAATTTGTCCTTCAATTTATTACTATATCATGTTGGATTTGCTTTCAGATACCATCAGAGAGTCCTGTATGCTGATATTGACATTCATCATGGTGATGGTGTTGAAGAAGCCTTTTATACTACAGACAGAGTTATGACTGTCTCCTTCCACAAATATGGCGAATACTTCCCAGGAACAGGAGACCTCAGGGTAAGTTGGCTTCCCTTAAACCAGAAAGGTGTTGGTGGCTGATTTCAAAATGTTTGTCATTGTACAGAATTATTCAAAGAGGCACTTTCCTAATTCCTTCAGTATTCTGTTCATCTAAAAAGCACACTTGAAATTTTAATACTTTATCAAACAAGATATTTTTTTAGTTTGATTTTTAGTCCATTATGTGTTCAAATAGCAATGGTCTAAATTTTAAATGTGGCTGTAGATAATGGTCTAATTTTTTTATGGATTTGCTTTTGCTTTTTTGTTTATTTGAAGATTGCTTGTAAAATTATTTAAAAAGAAAAAAATCTGATTTTTAATTTTGTGAAAAAGTAACTATTCTTTAAGTAACATGTTTTTCCATTTTAGGATATTGGTGCTGGTAAGGGCAAATATTATGCTGTTAATTTTCCACTCAGAGATGGAATTGATGATGAATCATATGAATCTATTTTCAAACCAGTAAGTTTTCTTTAATATTCAGTTATTCCAAGGAGTGTTCATTTGTTACTTTATTTTTTTTTTTTTCATTTTTTCCTCTCTCTCTCTTATATTTATGTTTGGGAAATTGTTCTGAAGAATTTGAAGTTAATTTTAAACAAAAAAAAATTCAATCAGTTATTTTATGTTAAAATAATGTTATGTGGTAATTGAGTGGTGGTGTTTTCTTTTACTTCAAATTTGAAAATGTTATTTCTCTGTTTTATTACTGAATATGTTGATTAAATTTTCTTGAAAGTTTCTTTAACTTAGCCTTTTCTGTGACCATTTCAGGTCATCAATAAAGTAATGGAAATGTACCAACCAAGTGCCATTGTTCTCCAGTGTGGAGCCGATTCTCTCTCAGGAGATCGACTCGGTTGTTTCAATTTAACCCTCAAAGGTTTGTAGGAATAATGCATTTTAGAATTATTTTCTTTCACTATAAAACTGTTCAGATTCTAAATTTTTGCTGGTTTCATATTTGGTTTGCTTATAAAACTTTTGGTGATTTTTTTTTTTTTTTTTTTTTTTTTTTTCCTTCTTAATACTGAATTTTAAAAATTTTCTCACTAAGGAAATCTGTTATTTAATCTGTTTTCAATAGTGGAAAAAAAAAAAGAAGTCCTTTGAAAGGAAAAATGCATTTTAGACTACAATTATTCCCTTACAAATATAAATTTTCATGTTGTAAAATGTTCTCAAAGATTTACATTAGTATTGATAAAATCATTGAATTTGTTAGTCAATTTCTTGTAAATAATTGTTTCCTATTTTTGTTTCAGGTCATGGTAAATGTGTGGAATTCATGAAACAATGGAACTTGCCATTGTTGATGTTGGGAGGTGGGGGTTATACTATCCGGAATGTTGCCCGTTGTTGGACCCATGAAACTTCCATTGCTCTCAATTGTGAAATTGCAAATGGTAAATCATTCATTTACTTACCACCTCCATAATTCTTAAATTCATTCAGTTATTACAGGGGTGCAAGGTGGTGCAGCTAATTTTGGAGAATGAAGAAACTTCTATAAAGTAATGACTTCCTAAACAATGGTTTATTTTCAACAGAATGTATTGCTTAAAAATGATTGGCTTATTGAAATGAATGCCTGTCTTGTGGTTGGACTAATTATCTATTTTCTACATCACTGGTAAAAAGCTAAGATTGGTTTCATCACGCTCTTCCAGTTATCTTTCCCATTCTATATGAACTGGTCTAATTCTTTAGCTTTCAAAGCAAGTTCTTTTTAGAATAATTAGTTTTATGACTATTCAACTATATCACTATTTATTACTGAGAATTACATTTTTTTTTTTTTATTTTTTTTTTATTATTTTATTTTAAATATCTAAAATGTCCAAATTATTTGAAAGCTATTCATTCTTTAAAATTTAAAATGAATAATTGTCAGAATTTAAAAAATATTTAAACATTTTTCTATATAATGTCTGTATATATTTTTCCTTCCATACAAAGAATTAATTTGCAGGATCTTTGCATTTATTTCTGAATTTTATTCAGGTCATTAAGTGAGCTGTGGCCACTCAGAAAAATTCTTATTAGGTGACAATTGGCATTTGAACTTTCAGCATGGAGATTTTGAGATCCAAAATGTAATACAATCTGGGAGGTAATCAGTGGTGACACCTCTTGAAATTGTTGGTCCTGTTTATAACCTAATGTTGGCTGATTATTGAATCTTGGACAAAAGAATTGTTGACATTAGAGATATCCAGAGAATACTTGTATGGTTTATAATTCATCAACAGTTTACTACCAGCTGATCAACCAAGCAGCTGTCAAAATGCTTAGATGCTTAACAGAAACTAAATCTATTAGTCTTGCAGAATTTTCAACAATCTAGAGGTACTTCCCATTTTTTTTTTTTTTTTTTTCCATCCCTGATAAAAGGAAGGTACTATAATTTTCAGAAGAGCTAAATGATGCAGGATAACTTGCAGAGCTGCTTGAAGTCTGCATTGATAGAAAATGGTGATGGCAAACTGCAGAATAGTGCTAATTTTTTTTTTGCAGGATATTGAATCTACTGGCGAGACAATGGGTGTTTTGAAGAATTTGTTTGAATCCACTCTAATCATCAGATTGTGTTCTGTATGACTTTTTTTAGGTTTACAAATTTTAAATAGGGTTAGAAAGGTATTGCAGCAGCTGGGCCATTAATTCACTGAATGAGAATTTGGGGAATATAGTGCTAAGTGTGAGTGAATATCTGGAATATCTTGTACATTTCCTGGTTCTCTTTTATTCCATTCCTAGTCATGTAGGGAATGCCTCTACCCCACCTCAATCTTCAGTTGACTCATTTAAATTGAAATGTTGAATTGATGTTTCTTTATCTTTCAGAATTGCCCTACAATGATTATTTTGAATATTATGGGCCAGACTTTAAACTTCACATTAGTCCTTCAAACATGGCAAATCAAAACACAGCGGAATATCTGGAGAAAATTAAGTAAGTTTTTTTTTTTTTTTTTTTTTAATTTTTTACTTTCAATAATTATTTGCATTTATTTTGAAGTGAGCACTTATTAATTTCAAGTTATGGTGTGTGGAGGGAATTCAAATAATACTCTCAAATCATGAAATTCTATAAATGAATTGATATTTGGAAAAATTTTAGCATCAAATTTTACATGTTACGTGTGTGTGCGCGCGTGCAGAGTGATAATAATAAAACAGTGTTCTGTGTAAACTAACAAAGCAAAAAATTTATGCCAAGAATAAGTATATTTTGTTCATCATTTGGTGTGACTGAGTATATCATCAGACACAAACTGAAAATTGACTTGTAATATGTCAATATTTATAACCTCTTGTTAAGGTAGTTGAGCAGTTAATTTATTTATGAGAATAAATTTTTAAAAATGATTTCTTTACAAAAATTAATAGATTGCAAAATCAAAAACTAGTAAATGAAAATGCATATTCTCACACACACACAAAGGTAATGCTAACAAATGAAAAGTGTATACATTGAGATTGTGGCAATAACTGAAATCATTCTGGTTAAACATTTCAAAAAAAATGTCCGCATGTGACTATTTAATTCATTTCTTTTATTAATGTTTGTGTGTGAGATGCATTGAAAATTAGGAGGAAATGATTGTCAGTGATCAGAAATGAAGACGAATTTTTATGCATAATGTAAATGCATTGCTAATGATTTAAGTTTGCATCTGGGGGCATTAGAAATGTTCTAAAATATGAAAGATAGATTTTATTTACAGTTAAGCATCTTTGTGCATAAAATGATTTACTTTATTGGGCTGGAATATATCTTTTTTATTTTATTTTTATTTTTTTATCTTTTTTATTTTATTTTTATTTATTTATTTATTTTTTTTTTTAAGATCTCGTTTGTATGAAAATTTGCGTATGCTTCCACATGCACCTGGTGTACAAATGCAAGGTAAGATGTCTTGTTTTCCTTTTATCAATCCCCCACTTTTTTCTGCCTTTCAATTACCAGTTTTGAATGATATTTCAACCAATTTTTTTTGTTTCAATTGCAGCAATTCCAGATGATGCTGTTAATGAGGATAGTGAAGATGAAGACAAAGAAAATCCAGATGAAAGAATTTCTAGTAAGGAAACTTCACATTTCTATTTCTTTCATTTTTTTATATATATATATATATATATATATATATATATATATATATATATATATATTATGTTTGTGTGTAGTTAGCAAATGTTTTTCTTGTATTGTTTGCCTTTTTTTTCCATTCAGGAAACAGTATTTTGTGAAATTTATGCAAATTCATATAAATCTGTAAACCTGCTGATTGATGTTGGGGGTGCAGATTGGAAGATTACATTGTACCATTTTATGTTGACTCTGCATTTTTTCTTACCTGAGCTTGAATATTATAATCATACAACCTTCAAGTAGGACCATCAGTCTTACCATTTTGATGTCAGTTGATGAAAAGAATGATTGTAACTTTATTTAAATAGAAAATAAAACATACCATCCTATTTTATTAGTTGAAATGTGTCAGATACTATTTAAAGCTAATTTTCTATAAATTATTTCAATTTTGCCATAACTTTCACAAAGGTAGGGGAACAAATTTTCCATGATCGTGGAATTGTTAATTTTAAATCGGATCTGGGTTTTTAATGTAGTTTTCAATAATATATAACAAATTATTTTTTTTATTTTTTTTTATTTTATTTTTTATTTTTTTTAATTCTTTCGAAGCTTAATAACTGTCTTTCCAGGTTTTGTTAAACATTTTAATAAATATAACCATAACACAGTTATTTCCTTAAAATTTGTTTTTATAAAACAAAGTGGTTCGGCAATTTTCTGAGAATATGTTGGCTAGTCTATTTTTAAATATTTTAAAACTTTTTGTAGCAAATAAGATGAAAGTCAGGAGGTTGTGGCTCTATCATTGGGTGGAGAGAGGGAGAGTGCGAATGAGCCAATATGCTTAATAAATTTCCTTTAAGGCCTCACACAATTTACAAGTAAAAGATTCTAAATGACTTGTGACCTTTTGTAAAAACACTTGATTCTATTGAAGTTGAATTAAAAAGAACATAAACTTGTAATTACAACAGATAATTTGTTAAAACTGATCTTTTTCTGAAAGCTTTTGTAATCCTTGATCACTCTTCAGAAACAAATGAAACGGTGACAAAGCTACATTATAATTAAAATGTTAAATGCGTTATAAATTCAAATTAACAAAGAAAAAAAATTGATTGAGTTCGTGAGACATGTAAGCTGAAAGCATGAGAATTACTCAAAAGAAATGTCATTTCCAAACCAAGTAAAAAAAAAAAAAAAAAAAATGTACTCATAGTTTTTTCATATTTTTCATTGAAGTAGGGAAGTCCATGATGGGTGCTGCATTAATTCTATTACAAATATTTTTGGTACTTATCATTTGTTCAGCTGTGTGCCTTTTCGCTGAATTTGTGTTGATTGGCCAATTTTAATTCAGGTTGATCGAAGTCTATTTTGTGACCTTCTTTGATGGTGTGAAGTGCTGAAGTTTTTTTCGGTTGGTTTCATTTTTTATTACCTTAGTACAAAGATGCCAATGTTTATCTATCTTTTAGTGATCTCTAGATTATGCTAATTTGCTGGATAATCTTTGCAATTGCCATTACTAGTCATTGGCTGTTAGTCTTTTAATCTTATGAGCTGCAGCTCAATTGGCAATTCTCATGCTTTTTTTTTTTTTTTTTTTTTTTTTAAAAAATGTGCACTTTGTCTGACATTCCCCTATACAAAATTGACAAAATGAGGCGATTCCTATTAAATCATCATAAAGAAGGTGGTGCTATTCCAAATGTCAATTGTGTTAGGCAACTTCATATACCAAAATTGTTTGCTTGTCACTTTGCTGCCCTGAAAGCCAAGCTTGCAAGTCAGTCAGTATCATAACAGACGAAATGATTGTTGTGACCACAGCATTTTGAATGCAATTGCAAGCATTTGTGGGGAGTCACTTTTCATTGATGTTGTAACCTTGGGAGAATGCAATCATCAAACTGTAAATCAGGCATGCATCTAAGCTGTAACACATGGATATTACATTTGAGGATATTATTGCCTTTGTAACAGATTCTACAGCCTATTGCAAAAAAAGCTCATAAGGAAGTGTTGTCAAATGTCTTTGTTAACAGTTGCCATGTGTTGTGTTTAGCATGTATTTTAAATATTGTGTAGTTTAAAAAAAAAAAAATAGCCTAGTCAGAAAGTGATACTTAAAATGGCTTGACAGTCCCTTGCCTAGTGAAACAAGTGGCAACCAGATGGAATTCCTGGTTTAATAAGTCAAATATCACTCATCCTTTGTACAGTTTTATGAAGAACTCTTTAAGCAAGAAAAGAACCATGGTCTTTCAGTAGATAGGATTCTAGAATTAGACTACATCATACCTCTTACATAATTTGCGCCTAAATCTGCATTTTATGAGAACTGCATTTGTTTAATACAAGTGTTGACACAAACTTAGATACTAAGTCTTTGCTTTAGAGTTGGTCAATTTGGCAATTTATGTTTCAGTATCAGTTTGATACCATGTTTTTTTTTTATTTGGTTTTTAGTTTTTAATTTTTTTGTGTCATGATAGCATTTCCAGTCGATATCTGACTTCGTTTGAGATTGATAAATTTGCAACTTAGTCTGTTCACCTCGTGATTTCTCATGTATTTTTGGTCCAATCTTAAAAATATTTATATGGCTGGAAAGAAAATAAAATCATCTTTCTAAATATGTAATTTTTATGTGCTTTTATTCATGAATTACTTTTTACAGCAAGTTAAGAATGGCATTTTGCTAGGAACAGCCAAAAATGTGAAATATGATACAAGACTAAATTTTACATGTTACTTTGGTCACTTTTATTTTACGCAACAATCTTTATCAATATTCTTGGAATTGTACACTCATTAGAAGACACATTAAACTACAGCCAGGAAGATGTTCATTTCTTCTCTGACCCATGGAAGTGAATCCCTTTGAAAATTATAAAGTAAGCACCCCCCCCCCCCCAAAAAAACCGTTAATGTGTGGTAAATATGGCGTGAAATAAACACCCCGTATACTTTTCAACTTTCAAGTGTTTTTTTTTTTTTTTTTTTTTTCCAATCATCTGTCATTGTGTTAACGGTTTTGTAAGGGGGTCTTTTTTTTTCTTCTTTTTTCATAAGCAAGAGTAATAAAAATGTATAGACATACGTAAAGAAAGTAAAGGCCACTGGAATTAAAAACTGAGAATCGGGGTGGGTAATAAAGTAAGGATTGTTTACCTACTAAAGTTTTTAGGCTTTAAGGTAATTTAGTCATAGAATTCATGACTTTGATTAAAGTTTATTAAATTTTCGAATAAATTGTCAACTATAAATGCCATATTTATTAACAAGTTAGTTCATGCGGCGATTTCTATCTATATTTGTGTCTTTGGACAACACATTTTTGAGAGAAAATGGTATAGCTCTCCAGAAATTAGTTTGATATGGCTTTTAAAAAGCCAAAAAATGAAACTCCTTATGTTTAAAATAATTAAAAATACGGCAATTCTTTTTTTGCTATGCCAGTCAACTGTTATTGAGGTTTTGCAAATAAATTTCTAAATAAAGTAAAATCAATGAGTAATTCCCCCCTCCCCCACGAATAAATTTGTTTTTATCTAGCAAAACCATCTAAGATTAAATATTGAAAATAAAAGCTTTTAATTTCATTTTTAGAATGTGTATCTTTCCAAATCTGCGAGTATCACCTGTTCTTTCCAAACTGAAATTAAAAATTATTTTAATCATTTTAATATAATCTTATTTAAGTGTATTATTCGCCAGATAAAACCATCTGATATTTGTAAAAATAAAATGAATTAATTTTCCTTGTTTAGAAGAATTTTATTGGCAGAACAGTAAAACACCCACTGAACAATAGTGGCTAAAAAAGAATAAGTTTTACTTTGGGGTTTAAAAAAAATAAAAATAAAATGACTTGCAGTTTTGAAAATATGCACATTTTAAAACTGAGATAAAAACTTTATTTTTTTCTAATATCTAATTTTAGGTGTATTCATTAGATAGAAACAATTTTATTTGTGAAAAACACATTTTTTTTTTTTTTTTTTTTTTTTTTTTACACTGAGACGTGCATATCTGGAAATATGCACATTTTAAAAGTGAAGTTAAGGACTGTTAATTATTCTTAATATCTAATTTAGGTACATTCACTAAATAAAAAAAATAAATTTGTTTATTAAAAAAAAAAAATCTTCATTTTTCTTGTTTACTGCAACTTTATTTCATGATTGGCATACTGGCTTACTAGAAAACAATTTTTTTACTCTTACAAAAAATCCGACTTCATTAAAATTTATTTTAACATTAAAAGGGAACTGGAAACTTATTTTTACTTGCTATTTTGTTAACTTAATTTTACCACTTTTTTTTTTTTTTTTTTTTTTTTTTTTAAAACATTCTATGATTTCCTTTCATATCTGTCGTATTTCCTTTGTAAGCAAATAGATTTCATATTTATTTCCTAAAACTAGTCAAATGTTAACATTTTTGTTCAATCTTTATCTCTTACAATGGTATAAATATTGATAAAATTTAATTTTATTAACATCTGAAAGTCTTTTTCAATAGTGTTTCTTTGGATTTGATCACTCAGTAGTGATATAGCACTAAAAAAATGTGATTTCGGTTTTGTAAAAAAATTTGATACGGTTTCAGTGTGAATATGGAACCGAAAAAAGTCCATTTCTACTTTGCTTACATGTGTTGTATGTAACATGATGGAGGATGTAAAACAGTATTTGCATACTGGTACATCAAACTCAACATTTGGCCTAGAAACTGTCTTCTGTCTGAACTAGAAAACATAGAGAGGGAAGAGAGTTATCTCAAATTTCCAAGAATTTTTTTTTTTTTTTTTTTTTTTTTTTTTTTTTAGCACATCTTTTACAAAACTGAATAAATATCTGAATACTCACCCTGTTTATGACTTTTAAAAGGCAGCTTGCCTGTTTGATCCTAGGCAGCCTGCCCTGAATGGTTCATGATTTAGACAGTTTTGCAGCCATCAAGGACTTGCAATGTCCTTCTACTGATGTTCTTGAAGAATTCCAAATGTATGTGAATTACCAAGATGACTTACCGAATCCTTTTAATATCCCATCATTTTGGAATGCAAATAAGAGCAGATTTCCTTTTCTGGAACAGATTGCCAATAAGGTCATATGGATGCCTGTTACCAGCATAGATGCTGAATGTTCATTTTCTAAGTACAAACATTTACTCAATAAACAACGTGAAAGTCTTACCCCTGAGAGCACTAAGCAATTCACGGTGTATTACAATGGAGATTTAGAGAAAAGATTTGAAGATTAGATATTTCCCAAATTAAGAAATTAGTAATTTTAAATTTGAGCAGTTGTTTATTTAAATTTTTAATTAATGTCTAATTTGTTTTTTGATATTTTGTAACAGAGATTCAATTATGGTTTAATCACTGTTTTTGTAAAATTTTAGTCAAAATGTTTATTCACATATTTATTGAGATTCAAGTTATTTGCTGTTGATACTTTAAATGTGATTTTTATATTATGAATCTATAATTATAAATAAATCTAAATCCTTTTATTTGAAAAAAAAAAAAGAAAAAACAATTTGAATGTGTTTTGAATGTCCTTAAAGAAGGAAACTGATTAAAAGTTCTAACCTCAACGATAATTATGCACTGTAACATTACATTGTTTTATTGTCTAGTCATGTTACATTTTTTTTTTATTTTTTAGATATAATTTATTTTTGCATTTTAACATTTAAAAAAAGATTTGTAGATATTTGCTAATTTCTTTACATGCAATAAAACTTTGAATTATGTTTGTTTTCAGTTTTAATAATAATTGTTTTATTGTAATTTTCTCATAAAACACTATAAAAAATGGAAAAATAAATGATTTCCCAAAAGTAAGGGGGGTGGAGACGGAATTTACAAAAAGTGGAAATGGAATCCAGGAAAATTTGAAATGGAAAATCGGAGGCCCTACGATTAATAGTCAATTAATATCATAATTCTAGTGTGTGTAAATTTTTGAATCACAGAAGATAAACTACCTTAAAAAGGCTGAATACTTAAGTTTTCTCTTAAAGTTTAAAAATAATTAAATTTTTAGCAGGAAAATGTCTGAAGAGAAATTTATTTAATGTGAAACACTAAAAGATTTGAATACGAACAGTAATTGAAGAGATAAATATTGATATGTTGACTAAAGATTCAAACTTGTCTTGATTGTATTTTTGAAAGCGATTTCAGTCTCATTAACTGAAATGACAATGTACTTCATTGACTTAATATTTGTATGCAAGGAAAGGAACTTTAAATCTTCAGGGTTGATAGGCAGCCAGCTGGGGTGGGGGAAATCATTCAGTAATGGATTTTTTTTTGTAAATAGGCGTAATTTGGAAATCTATAAAAAAACAAATCTGCAGACAAAACCAAGATTTAATTATAAACCTATAAAAACTAAATTCTCTCTAATGTTCTGGTTGTATTTCTATTTTTGTGTTTACTTAGGCTTCAGAGAATAGAATGAAAATTTTAACTTTATTTAATCTTATTTTCTTCTAAATGATGGCAGTTATAACGAACAGGAAAATGTTTGCTGTGATTCTTTTATACAGGGAAATAATTATTTTTTTTTCTTTGTTTTACAGTTCGTGCCAGTGACAAAAGAATTGTAAGGGATGAAGAATTATCAGACAGTGAAGATGAAGGAGAAGGACGTAGAGACAGGATGAATTATAAACCAAAGGCCAAACGCCCACGCACAGAAGACGAACGAAAAGAGGGTGAGTAGATTTTAAAAACTTAATATCTAAATCCTATCATGCAAGATTTCTTTAGTTGAAGTTGTCAATTTAAAAATTTAAGTGCTCCATTTTCCTCTGTACCTATTCTGATACTCATTTTCTTTTTTTATTCTTGTACAATTTGCTTAGTATTATAAGATTTTTTTTTTTCTTTCTCTGTCAGTTAATTTGAAAATGAACAGGAAATGACATGGAGTTCATAATTTAATGAAGGTGTTGATTCAGGGTAAGAATAACCAAGGGATACTAATCCTGAATTGAGTTTTTAATATTTAGGTTTATTTACAATGACTATCACTGACCATCAGAAATGGTCAGTGAGGATCAACTGGGGAAAGATGTAAAATTTTGGTTCTCACTCTCGGTGATGAACATGTAAATTTATTTGAAGTTTTAGTGGATTAGTTTAAAAATTAGTTACTGTTGAGATAGATAGATATAAAAATTCCTGTAAGATTAGATTTAGGAAATGTTGATGCTGTTAAAAATATATATATATATATATATATATATATATATATACATACACACGCCCTAATAAAGCAAGTATTGCAAACCTGATGCTGTTGGTTTGATTTGGCATTTTTATGTCTTTTTTTTTTTTTTTTTTTTTTTTTTTTTTTTTTTTTTCTGCTCTCCCCTCTTGTTAATTGGTGACTTGACGTTTTTGTCTTTTTGATTGTTGTTGAAGTTTCATGACTTTGTTTACGTTTGATCACGCTTTCACCTGACACATTCTTAGAGAAGATCAGAGGGTTTTATTTTTAACCTGCACCACATGTAAGGTCCATACATATTATACCCTCACTATTTCTATAAGTGACCCTCCCCCAACCTCTTGTCTATCCTTTCTCTGCTTCAAACTTTTTTTTGTATATTTGTTTTTGTTGTTGTTGATAAACTTTTTTTTTCTCTTTCTCTCCAGCTTGACTAGCTTGATGCACCTTTTTGCCTGTCGACTGCAGTAAAATCTTTATTAGCATCCCTCTCTCCCCACTTCCTCCAGACGTGGGGGGGTCCCTAGAAATTCCAGAAGACATTGACAACACACTTGATGATGGATTTTATTGAATCCATTTCTCCCATCTGAATGAATGGATTGCATGTTACATTCATCCTCCTGTAACCACTGCCGCCGCTGCTGCTGCTGTCATCGTCATCGTCCTCCTCCTCTTCGTGGTGTAATTATGCTCTGGACAATAAAATTTGTGCCTTTTTTTTTTTTTTTTTTTTTTTTTTTTCCCTCTCTCTCTCATCACTTAAATTTCTTTGTTTACTATCCCCTGTTTTTATCTAAACATTTGACCCAAGTTTGATATTGTCATCCGTCTGTCATTTTGAGTTCTCTTTCGTTCAAAAAGATGCACTGCTTCATTACTTAATGGAATGATTATTCCTTCATTATTTGCATAACATTTATTTGCATACATACAAAAAAAAATATACAGACTGTTTAGATTGCTAGTCACTTTTTTCTTTTTCCCTTCCCACCCAAAATGTCAGAGCACAGTTACAAATTCTGTCTGAATGAAATTGTCTGATTTGTAAATATGTTAGGCCAATAAAACTCCATTTGATTTTTCCAAAAAAAAATTGAATTTTTTTTTTTTTTTTTTTTTCCTCCATGTCCCAAATCTACGTTCTATCTCCTCTCTCTCTCTCTCTCGAGGGAAAAGTAAACTTTCCATGAGTTTTTTTCATCTGCTGCTATTGTCTTTCTCATTCATTTTTGCCAGAAATGTGGATTTTTCCCCCCCTTTTTCCCTCAGATATTTTAAAAATGTTTGCTGCCTGACCAAGTATGAATTTAAAAAAAAAAACAAAACAAAACACAATCAGGTGTTTGGTTATTTGGTCAGTTTAACTTCCTAAAGCAAGTCAAGATCATAATGTGAATATTTTTTTTTTTTTTTTTTTTTTTTTATTGTACAATCTTGCTCTGTTTTAGCATAGATGTCTAACTTAAAGGGAACAATTTCATTACTCTCAATTTAAGAATTGAATTTTTATGTCAATATTTGTTTCTCTGTATTGCAATGACAAGTTTATATAGATATATTCAATCAACTCTTCAGTATTTTTATTTGATATTCTGTAATTCTCAGCTAAAGGATCATGTCTAAATGGATGTAGAAAAATCAAAATATATTTGCTAACCATAGATGTCTTTTATATATGATGGACTCTCCCATCATTTTCGACGTATGAGTGTCTTTCACTTCAGTTTTTATGTTTGTTTCATATGAGACAACAATCCTGCATGGGAATTAAAAACAAATCCACACGAAGGGCATACTGAGGGGTTAACCGCCATATGATTTGATGTATTAACCCGTGACTTAGTGTTAATTCTTAATTCTCTCAGATCATTGAGACAATTCTTTTTAAAGTTAGTTATACCTCAGTAGCAGGTATTTCTCCAGTTTGCTCAGTTTTCAACAGCAAGTTCAAATTCCTCTATAGGGATGTTTGTAGCAATTAAATTGTATTCAAGTTTATCTTTGAAGTGTAACCAAGGATGGCCTATCATGAAAAAGTTGGCTATACATGAGGACTTTCAGCATCTGATCATCACTCATTCTGATGACATGACCAGCCCATCTGAACTATGATTGCATCAGAAAGTATTCAATACCACCGATGCTATATTTGAGATATATATTGCAAACCCACCCTCCAAAATTAAGCTTGTCCTGTGTTTTCTCCAAATGTTTATGGGGTGATCTCCTGACCTCAAGTGAAACTTGTATGTGTATATGATCTATCGCTAATGATGCTGGAAAAACGGTTCGTTCTTTGTACTGTTCCAGAAAGTACCTTAACTCCATCTACTATGCTCTTTACAAAAACAGATCAGTCCAAAAATAGTTGCTATCACATCTCGGCTAGCTATCCTCATTTTCCAGCCTCTATAGTTCAAAAGCATTTCCATGCCCCTGTGAGTGATGAACTGTTTTCCACCCAATATAATGCTGTTAGCCTTTCTCTAATTTCATGGTAAATTTTCTGGCAAAGTACATTCCTTGGTTCCACTACTCCAGACCTCAGCAAGCTGCATAAACACAGTTGACTCCTCCCCATTCCCTTCATATTCCATTGGTGAGGAAGAAGTCCCATTCAAACAGCTTCTTTCCCAGAACTGCTGTATTCTAGAATGAACTCCTGAGAGGATGCTTCTCTGATCATTACAATATTAACCTTTTTAATTCTAGGGTCAACCATTATTCTATCTTCATCATATCTTGTTCCCCCTTTTTACTATATAACCTTATTTAGTAACCCTGCCTTTGAGCCTTGCATTAGGTGAACAAATGTTTGTTTCTATTTTTTAAGTAATGGGTTTTTTTAATCTTTAATCTTTTTAGTGGATACTTGTTTGAGTAGATCTGTTTATTTATAAAACAATGTATTTATTTTTGTCTACTGGCCTGAATATTCAGAACTTTGTGTAAGGCCAGAGAGCATATATTTTTCTTTAATGAAATTTCTTGAATGTTCAGACTGGTAGTTGAAAATGAAATAATATACTGCTTAATAAACGGAGCATTTACTCAAATATGAGTATCTGCAATAAAATAAAACACACACACACACACACACACACACGTTTATAATTTTTCAATAGCAGCAAAAATTTCTATATGCTTTTTGTTAAGTTCATGTACCCATCTGCCTCTTCACAAGGTTGTTGCAGGGATGAATTATTGACAGCTAAATTATTTATTTAGCCATCCCCCTCCTTCTGTAAGAGTCATAAATCCTAGCATCCCCTCTGCCTCCGATATTGAATTGTGTGGTCAAACAGGAAAACTAATATTTTCATTTGGCTTTCCAGAGCTTATTTTTCTATAGACTAGAGTCAGCCTTTCCATTTGGATGGTTAATTGCAAATGTTTTAGGTGTGTGCAAAAGTTACAACTCCTCTCTCTCTTTATTTATTTATTTTATTTTTTATTTTATTTTTTTTATTTTTTTTATTTTTTTTTTTTGAGAAACTGAATGCACAATAGAAAACACATTTAAAAAAACAAAAAAGTAAATATTTGCACATGTATATAAGACTAACAATTCTGTAATGCAAGACTTTTTATCTTCGAAGTGTTGATATTTGGACTTGAATGTCATGTCCTTGCCCCCCCCCCCCCAATATGAATCCATTATCTTCTATAATGACTGCCAAATGTTACCTCAATGTTTTGAGAATTTCATATCTCTCCTTCCGTCCCTGATATTTTGGTGGGTCTTTTTGCTCTGCTGCTGAAATAGATTGATTTTGTTCTGCTTATCACTTTATTTGGATTTTGTGGATCATATCCAATGTTTTGTTGATTTTGTCAGTTTTATTGCTTTTCCTTTTGTGATTTTATGCCTGTAAATTAACTTTTTTCTCTAGATACTTTTCACTATAAAACTTCCCCATAATTAATAAGATTTTTCTTTTTTGCTTTGTGATCTTTCAATCACTTTTCTCATTTAGCTTGCATTTGTTTTTTTTTGTTTTTTTTTTTGTTTATACACCAATTCTTAGATTCTTTTTTTTTCACAAGATTTTTTTATCACCTTGTCCTTTGTATTCTCTGCTTAATATTATATACACATTTTTATCATATCTCTGAAGACTTAGCTTTCCTAAGGGATACTATTCCTAAAGACTGCATGCTCTAGCCTTGTTTTTTTTTTTCTATCAAAAATAGAAGTGATAGTATATGTTAATAGTCAGATATATATTTCAACACCAAGCTTATAATTACCTTTTATTTTAGTGTTAATCAATTTCCTCATTCCTTTAAAAGAAAAGTCTTCAAGGTACATTCTTTATAACTAGCAAATTGGTTTATAATGCTTTAAGAAATTGTTCTAACTTCAACCTGTTTTGCTCTTTTATTTTTATTCTGTGCGAAGGAAGATATTGAACTTTTCATTGAGATTCATTTTCCATTAGATTAATCTATCATTTTCATAAACTATATAATATCTAT